GAGATGCTTATGTTTCTAGAAATTATTTTTGGGTAAGAATTGATATTATTTAAGTTCCCGATTAAACATTAAATTCAACTGGTTTCTTTCTCAATATCTATCCGTTAGGAGACACGAATAATAGTAAATAGTACACAATGAAAAAAATGAATTAAGATAAATTTGAATTTTCGTTGATAATAGGAATGATTACAAATTTTTGTTTGTCTGTCCGTCGGGTAGATTTTATTAAAGAATATTATACACGTATTTTCTAATTATCTGCGTAATCAATAAATTACGGCGATACATTGATTTGAAATATCGCATGACGTCACACTGTTATACATTTACTATATATGTAGTTGTGACGTAGCGAGCCCCTTCTTCTTTTGGGTGGATAAGGCATTGAGTCTTATTTTATAATAAAAAACTTATAGCTAACAGACACGGATGGATGGCGCCGGAAGAAGGAAGAGGTGTTGGCAGATCTTATATTATAAATGTATCGATATTCAATAACTTCCCAACTTTAATGCCATTTCTTATTCAATTGAAACAAAAACACGTATATAATATTTTACTATTATCTGATTGACACATACTAAGTAAATTACTATTTATTTTTTTGGCCCAGATACTATCCCTATTATAGTATTTTTTAATTAACAATTTATTTTTCACAGACCGTAAGTTACGAAGCTGATGAGCGCGGTTTCAAGCCCCACATTACATATGAAGAATCGGAATCAGATGCGACCGGTCGCACTGGCGGCTACGATTCGAATGCTAGCAACGTGCGGAGCGGCGCTGGTGGCCATCATGGCGACGCCGGTCACCATGGAAACGCATTCGGAAATGGCGCGAATCACCACGGAAACGGCGCTCATGCGAACGCGCGAATTAACGGCTACTGAATGGATCATTTTAATCTACAACCTTTTGTATGTCTTATATTTAATTTTATCAGATTTTTGTAATATTTTATAATCTTTGTGGAAATCCAATAAATAATGCACATGAAAGTACAAACCTAGTTTTAAGTTGCATCGAGAAAAAGATAAAAATAATTATTACTTAGTTAGTGATCGTCACAATAAAGCTTCATATTTACTTATTATTTATATAAATAAAGAAATCTGCAAAATCATAACTGTATTTTATTCATTTTTTATTACCTATATATTTTAAAATCCATACTAATATTAAAAAGAAGAACACGATGGCACGGTGGTCCATGCTTCCACCGTTGGTCCTGACTGCATCTTCAATCGTCAACACCCGCCAATACGCACTCGGATGGAATTTAATCGAATCAAATTCAGATTTATCAAAAACCAATACATTAACTCTTTTAAAAAAGTCCATAGAGACAGAGTGTGACTGATCTTTAATGCCCGTAACTGACGCTCAAGATATAATACCCGAAAAGAAAAAAGGAATGAGGAATGACTACAAAAACAAATGAGATCCTATCAAAACCATAACACGTTCAAAACTGCACAAGTCTCACAACGAAATTCTTCTGCCGTAAAAATTTATGAAATCAACGTAAACCAAGTCGATTAATTCAGTACCTATCTTTTTGGGAAAGCAGCTGTCCAACCTGTCATAGATTTAGGAATCGTGCTTGAAAGATCCGTCAGCCCTGTAAGGTTCTAGGTAGATCAGTGGTTAGAGCATTCACCCGGATTGTGAACGGTCTTGCTTTTGAATCCTATCTCAGGATGCCAGGGACCAAGGGGAATTTTTAAGCATTTTTATTTTAAGCTTAGCTTTTACCTATAGCTTCCTCTCCTGGTTTTGTCCTGCCGGATCTCGGTCTGAACCATTATACTAAAGTGAGCCAAGACGTCTGCCTGCTCCAAAGAATTTACCAGATACACCGACACCAATATGCATCATAGTGAGTCCACTATTTATTTAACTTGATAAACACAGAAAATCGGCTATAAACTCGTACGTACTATTTGTAGACAAACATATTGTAAAGCGTAAAGAGGACCAATATTTGCTCACAAAAGTCACCTTGAGATTTTATTCGAGATGAGATATATTTGACGTCATTCACTTCCGATTTATTATAACACTAATTCAGCTCGTGATTTTGATTCGATTTGAGAATTTTAATGCAAAGACGATGAAAATGCTTGATCGGAACAAGGTAAGATCAAATTGTGAAAACAAAGTGGTAAATCATGATTATTTTTGCCAGCCCTGCACAGCCATTGAGTTACATACAAAAAGATGTATATTTCAAAAAATGGTAAATCATAATATTTAAATTATTTTATATTTAATGATGATGAACGTAATATAACTTTGACGTTAAACGATGTACACAATGCTCTCTTACAAGCGTTATCGTTTTCACTGTTAATAATCTGCGCTAAAAACCAAATGTATAAAATTCACTATACCTATTAAAAAACTTGACAACTTTTAGAGTAAGAGAGTTTTTTTCTTACATTCTATTCTGCTTGTTTATAAAATAATCGCATCTAAATGGAATCTCTTTTGCTATTGTACTGTCAACCTGAAGTCTTCTTCTTCTTCTTCTTTATTAATGGCTTATCTGCGCATATCGCACAATTCTCCCAATGTCAAGTCAATAAATAAATTTCTACATGTAAAATGAAATGAATCGAATATTATTAGTGTAATGTCTTCTTCACAAATCAATGGTGACATATATATTCATTACTTTATGATCTAGGAACAAGAACTGTGTCATAAAGGGTTGTAGTTGAACTGCTATTAATTATCCACAATTACGTTAATATTAGCAGAATTTGCCTTCTACTAGACTCGAAAATAATAAAATATATAATAAACAACTTCACATGCATTGCTCAGATTCCAAGATGAGTAGCTAAAACCCCTGTATTATGGAGTATCTGAGACTACGTATTTACCACAGCACCTAGATCCGAGACAATATAGAAAAGTCCTTTTTATACATTGACCCGACCGGAAGTCGAATCCGGGACCATCTTGAAATTGGCGTGCGAACTCCTACAATAGAATCTATATATTTCCAGCTCAGCTTCATATGTCATACAAAGAAATCATCTATATGGAAACTGTCAGGACAGTATACGAGTACTTGAGTTATTTTCACAGTATTATATCCGATGGTATTATATAGGCATACTAGCTTTTGCCCGCGACTTTGTCCGCGTGGTAAAGTTACTTTGAGCAGCATTTCCAACGAATATTTATTTATTCGTTCCATTAGGTACTGATAGGTTCAAATACATTGACATCCTTTATAATCCCTTATTTTATGTTGAATTTATCAAAATCCTATTTAAGCCGACGTCTTCGTCATAGTAGCTCCAATTTTTAATTTCAGTTCAATCAGTCGAAATCTAAGAAGATTTATATATACTTTCATCCCCTATTTTATCGCCTTGGGGGTAGAATTGATCAAAATCCATTCTTAACGGATGCCTACGTCTTAATATCAATGCCAAATTTCAGCCCGATCCGTCCAATGGTTTGGGTTGTGCATTGATAGATCTCTATTTCAGTCAGTCACCTTTGAGTTATATATATTTAGAAGATTGTGGGACTAGGCAGCTGATATTAAGAATATATATTTTACCAAAAGAGCAATCTCAGCGATAAATTGAAAGAAATTGGCATATTGATCATCGCATCTCAGTTTATATATAATTAACAAAGTAAAGGATATTATACCGTTAAGGAATATCTAAATGACAAAAAGGTATGGTGTTAGATATTTTAACTTTATTGTATTTACTTTCTAATATTGTAATGGAAAGTGACTTCATATTCTAATGAAGTCAATGAAGTAGTTTTGTGAACCGATGGCGTGGTTTTCGACTTTCACAAGTGCTCTGTAAAAGCCTAAACTGAATAAATAAATTTTGATTTTGATTTTAATTGATTAACTGATTTACCGCGACTTTGCCCGCGTAATATAGCCTATGTCACCCGGGTAGCTTCCCGTGAGTAGTTTCGGTGCCTAATCAGTGAATATTATAGAAGTAGTCATTTTTTTTGCTTTAGTAAAGACCTAGAATTAGTAAGCACAGTAATTTATATATGTTTCACTAGAAAAAAAAATAGTAATGGTTTCTTACAGAGAAGAAGGTATTAGGTTCATTCATAAGTCAAAGTACGCACTACTCTGATGGATATGACATTATTAATTTCAAAAGTTCTTAATGACAAAAGGTATAATATTAGATATTTTAACTAAATCGAATACATAATAATAATAATAATATAATCTTTATTGCACACATACAGACAGAAAAACAACACGAAATTACACGGTATAATAATACAGAGTACACAAAAGGCAGCGTTATTGCTAAACAGCAATCTCTTCCAGGCAACCTTTGGAGGAGAACCATAAAAGAAAAGGCAAAATATGGGTTATTGGTGCAATGGTCAGAAGGATTTTGTATGTCGTGTCCAATAAGCTGAACTAGGAGAACCTTTGTTAATTTATAAGTATGTATACTGTCTTAAAAATCTCTACGGTAAGAAATTACCTACCTACTCATTGTAAAAGTCTGCTTTAGTCTACTTATGTCTGTACATTTTCTTTTACTATGCTTAATGTATAATTAAGGATTGTATCAATGAGCATAATATGAGTCATGTTATAATGACATAAATTTATGATAAAAAAAAACTATTTTTTTTTTCAAATATCAGTAATTTTCCAATTGCATTCCAATTAAATTCTTTAACTAAAGTTTGTTGCCGGTTCTTCTACCGTATTAGGTTTGTTGCTATAGAATTGCGATGGCACAGCTTTCGACATTGACAAGTGCTTGTAACAGCATTTTCGAGTTTAAGAAAGTGTCACGTATTTTTTACCAAAGTCTCAGTACACAATATTTCTCTAGTACAGCTTTTTGTGCTGTTTCCGCACGACTCCTGTCTTTGAGTTCATAAATCGGTCTAATTAAATAAATACAAAACCATAATACAACCTTGACATTCAATACTGCACATTACAGATTTTTCGCATTACTAATTGCGAAATGATAATGCAAACATTTGTCGACATGGCCTATGATTTGCTCAGGTTAATTTTTTTCGTTAATTAATCTACTATAAAATCGCAATGGTGCATGGTTCTAACACCATTCGTGATATCACAATCCAAAGATCTCAACATGAAGGTAATATAATATCTGATTAATTAACTTCATAAGATTATTATATTTTTAATTTATTACACTAATATGTTGAACCTACTGTTGGCTACTAACTAAAATTTGTGAAATTTGAAACTTTTAGTTCTGATTAGACTTGTTGGGAATAATATATTATTTATTTTATGTTAAAACCAGTCGTTGCCCACTTTAACCATTAAATGCTCTGTAAATTATTACTATTTTGTGTGCATATTGTGCAACACTGTTTCTCTATCTATTCATACTACGTTTAAAAAACTTTAACAACATCTAAGCTTACAAATTTTTGCATCGTTTATTATTTACGCAGGTACTGGCAGCCCTCGTCTTTGCGATTGGTTCAGCGGTAGCAATAGGATCAGGGCCCTACCTTCCCAGTGGCTGGAGACCTCAAGGACCTGCTTTTAGTCTCCCCTCGGATATTCAGGTAGTTTATGCCCTTATATTACTAAATTACTATCATCTTAGTTCATTTTCTTGTTGTCAGTCTTTGTTAACAATTATTAGCATAGTAATTTATCAATTCCTGATGAATTTCTTATTAAGCTCATAATACTTAAGACAATTACTTGCATCATCACATACCTCTGTAAAGGAATGTACTTAATACGAATACGATTCACCCTTGATCAATTTTGCGTAGACAGCATATGGATATCGGAAATACGTGGGAGAGCCACGCTTCGGCATGAATGGGCCGGCTCAACCGGAGTGATACCACGGCCTCACAGAAAACCGACGTGAAGCAACGCTTGCGTTGTGTTTCGTCGTGTGAGTGAGGGTATCGCAGGCCCAACCCCTCCCTATTCCCTTCCCTCTACCCCTCAACCCTTCCCTCTAAGGCGGGCAGCGCGCTTGTAGCCTCTCCGGTGTTGCAGGTGTCCATGGGCGACGGTAATCACTTGCCATCAGGTGATCCGTCTGCTCGTCTGCCCCATAAAAAAGAAATAAAAAAAAGATACCAATGTATCCAGAAGTACTGATAACTAAGAAATAGCTAATTGTGGTAACACTAATCTAAGCTAGTATATAATTATGTCAAGGTTTCCATGAGAATCTACAGTTCCGTTTAATAAAGCCTTATCATTATTTTTTCTTCCGATTCTATTAGATTCGATTCTACTTTAAGAGAAGGCCTGAGCCTCCCATTCATGTCCTAGTGGGAACTCGGACATCTTCCAGCTAGGAGATATAATTTTCTATATAACCTATATAATTTTCTATTCCTAGTTTCGAATTATTTACGTCACAATTTGCAACAGCAAATATTGTAGATGATGTAATGTAGTTTTCATGATGATTTGGATGTCATCAAAATGTAGGTATTCCTTGCTTACAGAAACCGGCTCCAATCGATATCGTACTACAGGAATCAGAAGGCTCTAGCTCAGATTTCCTCCGTGAATATGGTCCTCCGATAGTGCAAACGATTTCTCAGACCCTCCCTGATGTTTCTACTGAACAGCCCTTCGTTGTTATTGAAGCTAAATTCGGAGAAGACGACACTATTACTGTTGGAGCTACTACTGAAAGTAAGTATTATAAATAATAAAGGCAAGATATAGTCAGAGGAAATCTACCAATATATTATACATTTTGAATTAACAAACAGAAACATGTTCCTTAATTGATATAATTTTAAGAAGAAGTCTGAATGGAAAAAAGCGATATTCTTCTTTCTTAAAATTATATCAATTAAGGAACATGTTTCTGTTTGTTAAATAAAACTGTATGGAAATAGTCATTTCTTTTATATACAAACCCTACTTTGCTTATTTCGTGGCAGGGCTTCCAAGGTTCCCAGTCAGGTCAATGTAGGAAACGGACTTATCTACACTGTCTTGGGTTTGGATGTTGTAGTACCTACACACCCTTGTTGTTTTGCATTTAAATAATACAAGTGATTAGTTACTAAATTTGGGACTAGAGTAATATATGTTATGTTTTCTAATATTTATTTATTCCTATAAGATGCCTATGATTCAAAATTATTCTAAAACCAAGAAGAACAGAAGGACTAAATGACAATATTTTTACAGTTATTGCTGAATTAGAATCTGAAGTGATCGAAGATACACCAGCTGCCACCGAATCCGTTAATGTTGATGCTGAAGAACAAAGTGGTGAAGTTAATCAAGTTAATATTGAAAGCAAATCTGATATCGAATCTTCTGTAGCAGAAGAAAGTCCAGTCTCCGTAGAAAGTGAAGAAATCGTTGCTGTAAATACTGATGACTCATCTGTAAATGCTAGAATTGAGGTTGAAGTTGAAGAAAACGAGAAAATCATTGAACAAGGTGTCAAGAATATAGCCGAAGCTATTGTAAGTTTAGAAAAGGAGGTAGTTGAAAAGGTAATTCAAAGTTATTCAAAATAAATACTTATAAAACTTTATGATTTCTAAGTTACTACTAGATAGCTATTCAGGGTTAAAATAATAGGTATGGAGAGCGGTAGTTATCGCTTTAACATAATTTTAGTAAAGAGTGAACATGACGGCATTACTAACAGTATATTTTGGCTGCTCGATGTTTAATCCCCCAATGATAACAGAAGTAATTACCAGAATAAGCTGGTAAAATTAATTATATCGAAATATCCAACAGGTACCTGAAGGATTCTTGGAGTATGGACCTCCAGGCTTTAGGGAGTATGGACCCCCTAATCAAAACGCTCTCCTAAGATCCGGCGAAGAGGTAAAATCATTTTTCTTACTGCTACTCAGAATTAAAAATAAAATTTTTGACGGTTATCTAGCCCCTTTTGTTAGTACCTAGGTAGTTACCCAAAGACTTTGAAGAGCATGTATAAAGCCAGTTCCAGTTTATTATATTGCGCCTTGTTTGGTAACGCAAGGGAAATTTTCCTTACCATTTTAACCAGGACTAACCACCTCTTTTGATAGAGACAAATTGAAGCGTGATTGGCCTACCTGGTGAAACCAGTTGCAGAAAACCCTCGGTGGTGGGAAGGATTCGGTAGATCCGGATCCATTCCCACATTACGCCTGGCAATGAGATAGATAGCAATCAAAGACAAAATATTTTCTCTGTAATAGTGACAGCAGGGGTGGATGCAAAAATTAAATTAGCTACTTACTAATTACTAGAATAACATATTACCATAGAGTATTATTCTGTACCTATTAAATTTTTATTCATAATAATTATTTTTAATTTCCTTCAAGGAGAAAACGGAAGCTGAAAAAATCGACAGCAACGAAACAAGAAGACGTAGATTCTCTCCTAAATTCAGGTATAAACTCTTAGATATACGCGTTGCTTTTCAATAAGTTGTAAGGAAAGGGTATTTCACGCGATTAGGCAACAAGTGGATAATAGAGATAAGAAAACAATTTTTTAATTTGAATTTAAACTAATTTGCTTTGGCAATTCGCAATATTAGGCGTTTTCTAGTTAAGTTATGACTTGTTTTATGTTAGTAAAAACGGTTTTCAGTACATAGAGTGCTGGAACAATTCGAGACAGCGATTATTTTTGAAATAAAAATGTACTTTTTTTTTCAGGTCAAATAAACATTGACTGTAGAAGAATAAACAACGATTACGGCTATTCTACCTGAAAAATATATAATAATTTTGAAGCACGAGAAAATATCTTTAAAGAAAAATTTAATAAATGATTATTTCATTTTCTTAATCGTTTTTTTATTACTGAAAGAATTCTTAATTGCGCTTTTTTTTAATTCAGTTAAAGATAGTTGTCTTCGCAACTGCTGGACATATTTTGATGAAACTTATGGTGTTACCTAAAGTGTAAGCTAAGTAAATAAACGAAAAAGAATCAAATGCTATCCAATGTGTGATTTGCCAGAAATACTTATTATATAAAGTTATACCTACTTTAGGTTCAACTAAAATAAAACAAAAGAATTGTAACTATGAATTCAGATTAATTATTTTTATATTTAATAAATTTTGCATTAACAATGCAATACCGATAAATATGTTGAATAAAAAATGGTAAAACAATTCGCCATCCCAGGTACCCCCAGACGGAACTCGAACCTATATTATAAAAAAAAACAGTTATGTTATGTTTCGGATAATTCACAGTGTCGTTAATAAACAAGGTTAAGCGTTGGAGTAAATTTACGCGGAGACTGCACTTAGTATTAATCACAATTCATATTATTAAACAGAGACTTAGCAAAGGTTAACCTAGAACGAGGTTCTTCGGGAGTAATATGATGTGGGACAAAAAATTTATTAACTTGAGCTTCTCCGTGGCAGTACCTAAAGGCACGTTAAGCCGTTGGTCCCGGCTGCACCTACAGTTAACACCCACCGATTCGCACTGAGCCCGCGTGGTTTCGATTCCATCCGTAAAGAAGGCCTGAGCCCTGGAAGTGGATACACTACTATAAAGTATATCAATTATTTAAGTATCATGAAGTTAGCGCGCTCGGTCTGGAATACGGTTGTTAAGCAGCTTTCACAATGACCGGCCATAAGAGGGGTGATTAAAAATTTATTATGCATCTGCAGCCATTAACACCCACCAATCCGTTCCGGGACCGCGTGGATTCGATTCCACGTATCTCCCGAATCACGTATCTCCACTGCTAGGGCACAGAAGGCCTGAGCCCTAGCAGTGGAGATACTACTATAAAGTACCTATACTCTATGGCGGGGTTATTATTAGGCGGGTTATGTTTTATAACTAGAGTCTGGCTAATGAAAGTAGACACTGAAAAAGCGCGGCAAATTTAAAAAATAAAAGCATGACCACCCTAAAAACAGTAGCCATTTCTTGGAATAAAGTATTTTGATACTTTTGCAAAATACAAGGTATAAGTAATTTATAAGATTATTATTTTAATACAATAATGTATAACATACACAAGTAATATAAATGACTGGGGCTGTGCAACACAAAAAGATTATTTTGAATCCAAACTAGTAGTTCCTGAGATTAGCGCGTTCAACCAAACAAACAAACTCTTCAGCTTTATATTAGTATAGAGAGATGTAAGAAAGAAAAAAATAAAATAAATAAAAAATATGTTTGTATTGATTAAGAAAATACATATTTAATCACCATAATCAAAATCTGAATCTAAGAATTCCATATGTAGGGATTCATTATCAGAGTCACTGGAATCACTATCTCCAACATTGATAATAAAACTTTCCAAATTATCTTCTGTAATACAATCTCTTTCTTTGTATTTATCCTCCACATGTATAACATGATCTGTCATTTTCTTCCATTCCACAGGTGTTATGTTTTCAAATGACTCTTTTATCACCTTTTCTAACTCTACTGCAGACAGAGCTATATTTTTACTCGCTACTTTACGTTTAGCCAAACTCCATACCAATTCAATAGCATTTAAGTCGCAGTGGTAAGGAGGAAGTCTCAACACCTCATGACCATTCTGCCTTAAAAGTTCATCAGCTTCATATATTGGCTCTTATTTGTGCAATTTTACAAAACATAGCAGTTCTGCTTTCGTGTGGTAGTCTTCAAATGGAATATAATTTATACTAAGCCATTCTTTTATTTCATTTTTGCGGTTTTGTAATGTAGGAGCTTTATTTACAATTACTAAATGATAGCTAGCGTTATCCATAACTATTATACTTGGCTCATTCAAATTAGGTATAAGTTTTTCTTGTAGCCATTTATTAAAATTTGTAGCATTCATGTCATGGTGGTAGTCAGCCATTTTTGACTTAGAGCTGTAAACTATCAATGAGTCTTGTACAGGGCCTCTTTCCGAGCCAGCATGTACAATTATGTACCTTTTTCCTGCTGAAATATTTTCAATCGCACCACTTGTAGAAGGACCTTGCCAAGACTTTTTGGGTTTGTAGTTTTTATGAACATAGGTCTCATCTAAGTAAATTATTTGTTTCCCTTCTGCACGTTTAATACCTATGGCCCTTAAAAAACGGTGATTCCAGGCAGATATGTCATAGCGTTCAACTAATAATGAACGTTCACTTTTGTTTCTTTTGAATTCAAAGCCATTTGCCAATAATATTCGGCGAAGAGTTTCCCGGCATCCATTAAATTGAATACTTTCCCGTAATTCCAGCATAAGTGTTTTCAATGTAGGAACATGTTTTCTCACAATATAAAATTCATTAATTTTATTGCGAATAGCATCTATATCAAAACTATCTAACTCTGACACTGTGGGTTTGTGTGGCCGTTTTTTTCCTGGAGTATTCCAGACACCATCATTTACTGCACCTTCCTTTTTTATTCGTTTTAATGTTGTTACACTAACCTCTGTGAAAAATAAATAAAATAAATTGTATTTACTAACAATTAAAAATTATTTGAAATATGTATGTACATACAAATTACAATAGTAAAGTTACCAGTGAGTGAAGCTATTTTTTCTAGGTATTGATTTTGATTTGTTAATCTGTTTTTCTGCTCCAAATCAGTAAGTTTTTTGATAATTTCAACTATTTTATTTACCCCTGCAACATCCTCCAAATTCTCTGTAAATAAATATACTTTCATTATTTTTTTTAATTATATTAATACGTTATATGATAAATGTGCTTGTAGAAATGGTAAATACGCAATTGTTTATGATTTCTTTAACTCAAATTAAAAAGTAAACATAACAAAGTATCAAAGTAATATTGTTTTACTAACCAAAAAAATTTAATATTACGCGTAAACAACCCTGTTTTTCTTCAAAAACAGCATCATTTTCTTCTTTTTGTTCTTGAAATTTGGAAATCATACGGAACAATAACTCCCGCACACCACTTTTAATTGTTTTATTCATCCTTATGTACGTAAATCACAAAAACAAGATCACGATAAAACACAACAAATGACAACGAACCACCATCTTACCACTTTGATATTGACATTTAGTATTGCCATGTCAAAAGTTTGCAAATAAACCCAGTGTCTACTTTCATTAGCCAGACTCTAGAAAGGAACGCAAATGTGTCGAAAAAATAAGTTAAGACAAGATAAGTTTATGTTAAGACATCTTATTCGCCTAGCAACAGACTTCGTCAACATATTGCTAAAGATAACTAGCTTTCTCCGCCAGTCGCACATGAAATTTTCCTGTTTTTGCTATAAATTTGCTTTAGTTGGCCGATGGTTTAAACTAAATAGTAACTGCAGTCTTCGTTTTTAACGGTTTATGTATCAAAATTTATAGTAGTTTAACACAAGCATACAAACATGTTAGTTTTAAGGTAAATAAATTGAGTAATAATTTTCTAAGGCCTCTGCACAAATTCTACTTCCAAATTATTTTCAATGAATACATTAACTCGAACGAGTAGTACCTACCCAATTTCAATCCATATCCACAATTTTATTGGAACGATATTTTCTTTGATCATTCTTTCGTGTTATCGTGCAGTCATCATATTTATAAGGACTTATGGAACAATTAATCTCATTTGGTGGTTCCTCAAAAGTAGCTGGAGTGCCACCGCCCTTTACAGGTAGGGGTTTGATGTTAAACTGTCTCCTTACAATGTTTCTCAGAGAGCTCCTTACATACGGGGTGTAATCAGGCCATTCTCTTACATATGATGCTTTTATTAAGAATGGAAACTTCCTAAAACAAAATAAAAAAGGTTAATTCAATAAATTTAAATACGATGGTCTGCGAACGCAAGGGGCAGGTTTATATTAAATATGTACATAATATTTGCTCAGCTTACCAAAACTTCTCATAACCTATATTGGTTACTAATATTTTCACGCCCTATTACATAAAATGATTTTTTAACTATAACATAGCAGACAGACACTTAACAGAAGACATATATTTCCTTCCAAGGTCTCTTGGAACTTAATCAACTTTGATTAGGTACAGCGACATATAAATTTTGGTAAACATCTCCTTTACAAGACTGCACTATTTTTATCAGGAGTTCATATTGCGACTCCTGCCTGTCTTTAGGTGGTTGCGACAACAAACTTTTTTTTGAGTTCTGGATGGATCTAGAGCGGACTCCTGTTGGTGTGCGGAGCCGCACGTGTTTCTCCATACGTCTCGAATAAGCGTAATGAGCTTTATTAAGTAATTTGAGATTTAAAAGCACGAGAACAACCATCAAAATAGACATTAGCTACTGCAAGTTTCGACTTTATATCACGGATAAGTGGCATAATATTTATATTTTTGCTAAACAATATTCCTTGCCTCACGTCTATGTAAAGATAATATCACCCCAAAACAATACGTCTAGATATGTACGTACTGTAAAATATATCTAGTAGGTAATAGACGCCGAGCTCGTGACAAAATGTGAAAGACCTTTCTAAAGCTTGATTTTGGTATGTTGAAATACTAACCAGTACCCAGTGAAGTCAGGCGCTGGGTCAACGTTTCACGATTGTGCAATCTGACAAGTTTAATCTGCTTTTATTATTTTAAGATAAAATTTTTAGCTTATTTTAAATTAT